TTCAAACTGGAGTTTCCCATGACTTGGGGGCCGCTCCCCTTCCTGAGGTGGAAAATAACCTGACGCCTTCAGATGCTGCTCGCAGCTTCCAGGCTTCTGTGGGGCCTTGGTGTGGGTCGTGGTGACCTGTCAGTGACTAGTGTCCAGGTCTGGTGGGATAACCTGAGCCAATGCCAAAGTCCCAGTCTGTGACCGCAGGTCCTGGGACTCAAAACCTGGTGAGACAGAGCCTCCTAACCCTGACAGGCAAGAGGCATAATGGCCCCAACCATAGGTCACCATACTGTCTTGATCCTGGGATTATAAATCTCAAACAGAGTCATACTAGTAGACTATCAGGGCTGGATTCATTCAAGTCACATGTTAAAGTCAGGCTGCCCGCCGGAAGCCTGGGACAGAGTCAGCTGGGTTCTTTCTGAACCCTCCTGGCATGGGCAGCTCCGGCTTGGTGGCAGCTCTGACTTTTTCTGCTGTTGGGCAGTGCTGATTGTCATTTCCATTCTGTTCAGTTAATCAAATAGTGACTTGATAGCTGTGGTGGGCCAGGACTTACTGCAGGGTCCAGAGACTAGGAGCACATGGATAGCACATGCTAGAGACACAGAGCCAAGCACCCTACAGCCAGAGAGGCTATGGGAGATGTATGGACAGCTATTGCTGCTGACATGTTTTTGTATTGGGCCAATGGCTACGTGTGTGTGTGTGTGTGTGTGTGTGTGTGTGTGTGTGTGTGTTTTCCTTCTACTCATGTAAGTTCTTTGAATAGGTTAAAAGCATGCTATAACATCTTTTCTAAATCCTGTTGTCTCCAAGGTAACCTTGGCCCATCACACACAAGCTCCCAAACCCCATCCTCATCACCTGATCACTGAATACACTGCAGTTGGAAATATGACTCCTAAGGCTGTGTCTTCTGTGTTAAGCATATCACAGGCTGCTCAGATGATTCAGTGATCAAAGTGGTAACTTCCCACCCATGATCTGAGCACTTTACTTAATTAACACAACTGAACACTATAGGCATCTCTGAGCGGCTCCCTTACTTTGTAGCCATATGCCTTTGAGATCAACTAAAACTCTGAACTGGCCACACAAAATTCCAGTGAAGCCAGATTTTCTCCACCTTGAACTAGGGCAGTTGAGTCCCGAACACACTTTCTCTGTGCTGTCATCCATGCCAACAGGAAATACACCGAGCAGCAGAGGAATGGAGGCAGGCACACGGCATGTTCACACCCATTTATTCATCAACCTGCCTCTCTGGCCAGGTGTAAGTCCACCACCCATTTCCATTTCTCCATTTCATTCCAAAAACAGTGTGAGATTTTGTCAACCGCCCCGTGCAGTCAGTGCTGATGCGCTCTGTTTATGGCAGTGAGTCACAGCCCGTGGAAACTCCTAGGACCTTTTCCAAGTGCACTTATCACCCAGAGCATCTGGCCCACCTCCCTGCAGGGACAGGCCTAGCGGAGAATCACAGAGCAAGGAGGGACGTCACTGAGCAGGCTGCCCTCTGAATGACGAGGAGGCAGGCTAAGAGGTTGAGAACTCCTGGCCACAGTGTCCCCCGAAGACAGCTTGATAACTTGGCAGAATTTGCTCCCTGTGAACCCACTTCAGAACCTGGCGGTCAGCCTTTCTTTCCAGGGGCGTACAGCATCTGCTGAGAAATTCTTCCTGGAACTCAGAACGGCCCCGCCCAGCCGTGCTTGATCGGGTTTTCTGGGTCTGATCCATTGAAAGTAGAATATGTACCATTTCCCACCTCTGGCACTTCCCTTTCTGTCCCTGCTTCCCAGGACCATTCCCCGGGCTTGGGAACCTTATCCAGTTTCCTTTAGGCCTGGATGCATCCTCCACGGCCTGAGACCTGTCCACCATGTGATGCATCTCTGCTGGGCTCCGGTGCCCTCTCTGTAGTATCGGTCTTGTCCTCCCCAAGTTGTCTGGATTCAAAGTCCATCTCTGCTGCTTACCCCATGTGTAACACCTTGAGCAAATTTCTCATGTGAAATGGCCTGGCCTCCGGTGTGGGGGTTCTGAGAAAATGAAAGGAGTTAGTACGCACAACACCCTAGAAGAGTGCCAGTGCCAATAAGCTCTCCACGCAGATCCTCCAATAATAATGTCGCTTCGTTATCACGCTGATGGATGTGGGAGGAACTTGTGTGTATCCATTTGCCTAGGGGAAATTGGCTTGGTTATGTGTCCTATTGCTCAAAGACACAGAACCTGTGGATGAGGTTAAGTGAGGACTGATGATATTGTTGCAATTGTGCTTGCTGCCACCTAGATGCAACATCACTGCTTGGTAGACTTCAGTCCCCCTCATCCCGGGTCTGTGCCAGCCCCAGCGCTGGGAGCTGCCACCTTTACACTTCTTATCAAAGTCAGACCATATCATAAATGCACATGGGAAGAAATAGTACATATTTCTCAAAGGTCAATCTCAGAAGTTATCAAAGAAATGCAAATGAAAGCAAGTTCCATTTTCCACCTATCAAATTGGCAAAGACGCAAATAATTAGATATTCAATAACTGGCAAAGGAGTGGTCAAAGTGGCCACTGTCACCTTCCCCTGGCGAGAGGGTAAATAAATATGCAGATGCAACATATAAAGGTTATACTTTACTCACTAAGCCAGCAATTCCATTCCTAGAAAAATATGCTAAGGAAATCACTGAAGCTGCACCAATAAATTGACGTACAAAGATAGTCATTGCAGCATTACTTTTAATATTAAAAAATGGTAAATGACTTAAATGTCCAACAATAGAAGATTGGTTAAATAAATTATGGGTCAGCAAGTGAACAATAATTGAACACCATGGGAACTAAGCAGCTATAATGTTGAGTGGAGGAATTAAGAAACAAAAGCACACACTAAGATAATCATAAATATTGTTTTGAATTGAAATAAAATGGAGAAGCCAAAGGCCTCGGGTCAATTTTGAGTGGTTACAGATAATTCTTATTTGCCTCTTGATCATTTCTCTTATTTTCCAAAATTTCTATGAAGACTATTACTTTCTTAATTAGAAAAATGCACATATGCATATTTAAGTTTAATTCTATATCTCTGTCTATATATTTTCCTACACATGCACAGATGCGTATGTTTGTTCTAATGCTTTTTCTCCATCCTGAGAAATGAAGCTGCTCTCCAGATAAAACAAGTTAAGGAAATTCTAGGACAGCATGTGCCAGGTAAGGGAACCTCCGCTTCCCTCCCACACCTGCCCAGGCAGAGACTCATCAGCTCAGGAGGTCAGAACTGGAAGAAACCTCAATGCTAAATCAAGAGTACTTGATCTCTTGACCCCTGGACCCCTGGGGCTGTAGATGAAGCCTACAGGATTTCTTCCCAGAATGCCCATTTTATTATTTTTTTAAAAAAATATATTTTATTGATTTTTTTACAGAGAGGAAGGGAGAGAGAGAGCTAGAAACGTCGATGAGAGAGAAACATCAACCAGTTGCCTCTTGCACACTCCCTACTGGGGATGTGTCCGCAACCAAGGTACATGCCCTTGACCGGAATTGAACCCAGGACCTTTCAGTCCGCAGACCGACGCTCTACCACTGAGCCAAACTGGTTTCGGCAAGAATGCCCATTTTACATGCACAAAAAAATAACACGGGATTTCAAAGAAACCATGCATTCTTTGAGTGGTAAGATTCTAAGCCATGCCCCTCATCTATAGCACAAACGAGGCACAAACCGAAAAGAAAACTCCGGTGTGGTCAGACCTCCGGCCCCTTGGATTGTATCCATCACGTTGTGAGCTCCTCCCTTCCTCTGAATGTCTCAGGCAATTCTGTGCAGCCTTTTGGTCCCTTTGTACCAGGCCTGGGCAATGGTCCCTAGATTCTCACAGCAAATTCACAAGGTCAACATCATTGTCTCCATTTCCAGGTGAGGAGACTGACACCAGAGAGATCAGTGCAGGTGGGCAGGATTACCTCGGGTGTCACGTGACCTTCTCTAGCCAATCAAAGCTCACCAGGACTTCAGTGGGACAAACTGAGAAAGACACTAATCCCTCTAGAGCTGTTCAGGGAAAGAGGCGGCCTGCGGGTGAAGCCAACCCAGCAGAAATGGAACGCAGGGAAGGGAAGAAACTGAGAATGCAGGTGGTTGTGGGGCTTTTGGTCTAGCTGAGCCGGAAGCCACATGGCCCAACACATTGGGTTTTGTTTTTGTTTTTGTTTTTTGTTTTTTAAAGCCTGTTTGACTTGGGTTCCATTACCTGCAACCAAGTGTCCAGACTAAGTTATGTATGGATTACCCCCATTTTCCAGATGAGGACAGCAGAGGCAGCCCAGGAGAATAGCACAGCTAGCAAGTGGCCAAACCGTGAATTCTACTTTTCCTGACCTCAAAGTCTTAATCACGACTTCATCTGAGTTCAGGTGAGGCCAGACCTGCTCCTCCTTGGAGGAGTCAGACAATTCAGCCAAGAGGCCCACTCATTGTTCCTGCATGTCCTCTAGCTGTGGCTAAAATGGAAACTTTCGAGGCTCAGAGCCATATGACCAACTACTCCTGCCACACCCCTACGGGGCCTGATCCACGTACTCACCACTCCCTGGGACTGCCCATGTGGGTTCCTCTCGTCTTCAACTTGTAGGTGATGTTCTTTCATCTACAGTCCAGTGTTTCCCAAAGTGTGGTACGTGTATCCCCAGAAGTACAGGAAGAGTTTGGTGGGGGTACGCATTGCACTGGAATTTGGTGGGGTTATGTACTGCACCGTGCTTAGCTGCGCCTAATTCTCATGAGTACTTGGGGTACTCAGTGTTATGAAAATTATAGAAGGGGTACACATATGTCAAAAATTTGGGAAACACTGATATACAAATGGCACAGTTTGCCCATGATTCCCACAGGCAACTTTGGGGAGGAGGGCTTCAGGTAGGAACAGCTCAAAGCCCTCCTTTGCTCCCCTCCTCCCCCAGCCAGGCCCCTCCCTTCCTCACGCAGCCCCGACTGGCTCACCTGTAAATCAGTACCTCATCGTCGGAGCAGTTGTACTGCAGCTGATACATCTTCACCCGGGGCGCCGACTTGCTGACCGACCACTTGACCAGGGCCGAGGTGGTGGTCACGTCCGACACGAGCACCGCCCGTTCTGGGGGGCTTTTGGGAGGCTCCCCGCCCTCGCTGCCTGCCCCTCCTCCCCGGCTGGTCTTGCTGGAGCCAGTGATGTCCGAGAGGCGGGACTTGGGGGGCGCCGTGCGGCTGGTGCTGTTGCTGAGGTGTGGCAGCTGGACGATGGACACCTCCACCGTGGCCGTGGCCTCCCCGGCGGCGTTGGCGGCGATGCAGGTGAAGGCGCCGCTGTCCTGAGACGTGGTGATGAGGATGTCCAGGGTGCCATTGTCATACACGGCGGTCCTCGAGGAGTTCCCCACCAGGCGGTCGTCCGGGGCCACCCAGTGGATGACCGGGCTGGGGTCCCCGATGGCCTTGCATTTGAGTGTGGCCGCCTGGCCCTCCAGCACCAGCAGCCTGTGCGTGTGCTGGGTGATGAGGGGCGGCTCGCACACGAACTCCTCCTCACGCACGTGCCAGAAGTAGCGGCCCTTGAGGCCCCCCGGGGAGCCGCAGGTCTCCAGGTCATCGTCCCGCTCCAGCCTCCGCAGCCAGAGGAGCTCACAGTTGCAGTGCAGCGGGTTCCCCCCGAAACTGAAGGACAAGGGCGGGGCGAAGGGCGTGGCGGCCAGCGCGGAGGCCTGGGAGCGGGCGAAGATGGGGTCCGGGGGCAGCTTCTGTAGCCGGTTGGAGGTGAGGTCCAGGCGGGCCAGCTTCTGCAGGTCAGCGAAGGTGCCCTCGGCGATGTGGTCCAGCAGGTTGTGGTCCAGGCTGAGCTGGTGCAGGTTGACCATGCGGCGCACGGAGCCCCAGGGCAGGCCGTGGAGGTTGTTGTAGGAGAGGTCCAGGTCCTCCAGCGTGAGCAGGAAGTCCTCGAAGGCGTCGTCGGCCACGCCGCCCAGCTGGTTGTTGTTCACGATGAGGTGCTGCAGGTTGACCAGGCCGCGCAGCGTGTCCTCCCCGAGGCTGGGCAGCCGGTTGCTGTCGAGGTGCAGGGAGCGCAGGCTCTCGAGGTCCAGGAAGGAGAAGGGCTGGATGTGGCTGATGGTGTTCCTGGACAGGGTCAGGTCCACCAGCCCCGTCATGTTGGCGAAGTCCTGGCGGCCAATGTGGATGATGAAGTTGCCGCCCAGGCGCAGCTCCACCGTCCGCCGGTCGATGTCCGGGGGCACGAAGAGCAGCCCCTTGGACGGGCACAGGGTCCCCAGCGACTCAGATAGGTTCTGGCAGACGCAGTACTTGGGGCAGGCGTCGACCACGGCAAACGCCATGCCAAACGCCAGCAGGCCGCCAAGCAGGGTCTCCATGGTCTGGTCCCTCAGGCTGCAGCGCCTGGAAGGGAAGGACACAGGTCAGGGTCAGGAAGTGACTTCCCAAGGCCCCCGTCCAGAGTTTCCTCCCTGGCACCACCGCGGCCTTGGGGAGCAGCCATGAATGGCATCTGCTCATCGCACGGTGTAATCTCTCCTACCAACCCCTCTAAGACAGTTCTACTTTCCCTTCTTTCCCTGGCTCTTACTATGTTCTAACAGACTCTGCATTACTTATTAACTGTGCCCATGGGATGCTTCCTCTCTCCCCACCAGGATGTCAGCTCCATGAGGGCAGGTCCTGGTGTCTTCTTTGAACATCGTTTTATCTGGCACAGGGTCTGGGACACAGTAGCTGCTCAATACGTATTTTTCGCATGGATGGGTGGATGGATGGATGGATGATCTCACACTAGTGGTTCATTAGTCATCACTGGATGTGAAAAGTGTGTTCTGGCTGCGCTTTGAAGCAGTTTCACCTTCTTAATTGGTTTAGACTCAGCATGAAATGAAACAGGACCAGCATCCCCTAAGAACAAGGACGTGGGCCAGGAGAGAGTTGGCTGGGAGAGACACCGCAGTTCATGGGGAACTGGCTTTGGATAAAAGCGTCACCATGGAGAACCCAGAGTGCACATGTCTCTTTGGGAGTCAGGGAAGTAGAGAAGGTGGTGGGACACGAACTTCTGAGTATTCGCAGGTGCTGGGTCCTCTGCCCGGGATTCCAAACACATCATCTCACTGGGGCTTCGGGTACAGCCTTCACAGGAAGGGCTTATCTGCATGTAGATGAGGACTTGATCATGGCCTAATGCTCAGGTCTTTTCTCAGAAGTCACCTCCGCCCCCAGGCCCCACCGGCCTGTGCATTCCCTCTTCCCTGCTTGTGTCTCCTCCTTGAAATTGATCGCTACCTAACTACTGTATATATTTACCTACTTGTCTTACTTATTGTTTCTCTTTTTCTCATTTTACTTTTTATTTATTTTCATGTATTTTTTTGTTTGTTTGTGGCATAATTTGTAAGTGGCAAATACTGGAAACAACCTAAATATCCATAGACAGGAAAGTGCTGGAATAAATTATGCCGCACCAGTACAATGGAGTGTTATACTGCTGTAAAAAAGAACAAAGACCACCGAAACCGGTTTGGCTCATTGGATAGAGCACCGGTAGCGAGCACATCCCTGGTAGGGGATGTGCAGGAGGCGGCTGGTCGATGTCTCTCTCTCATCGATGTTTCTGGCTCTCTATCCCTCTGCCTTCCTCTCTGTAAAATATCAATAAAATATATTTTTAAAAAGAAAAAGGAAAAAGAACGAAGATCATCTCTGTAAACTGATGAGGGGTGATTCTGTCACATTCCCAAGTGGAAGAAAGCCAAGCTCACAGGGGCACTTCCAGCATGACAGGGTAAGGGCTTCTTATCTTTCCATTAGAGTCCACATACAATATTATATTAGTTGCAGGTGTACAACACAGAGCTTAGGCATTTATATGCCTAAGAAGGGATCCCCCCTGGTGAGGGTAGTACCCATCTGACACCATATGTAGTTATTTCAGTATCATTGACTCTGTTCCCTATGCTGTACCCGGCATCCTGTTGTGTGTCTTCTGTATCAGCAACAAAGCCCTAAGGGGTTGGGACTTATTTTTGTTCACCGTTATATTCTCAAAGTTTCAAACATCCCCTGACACATAGTAGGTGTTTTCACAAAATGACTATCTGGAAAGGGAAGGAACAGGAATTTGGCTTGGGTCCTTGTGCCTCCAAATCTGATAGTTTTCTCACTACTCATGCTGGACTGCCTGTGACTCTATTTATGGAATCACATCAATTGAGTTGAACTTTTGGAAAAATCACACACTCTGATTATGTGGCATCACGTAGGCCAGCAGCTCTCAAACTGCCTTCTAGGAGTGCTAGTTAGAGGTCTGCAAGAGAGGTGTCTGGGGCCAGGGAGCTGGGGAAGCGCTGCCTACTCCCCCTCACTCTTGCGAAAGCTCTAGGCGCATAGTCAGTTCAGAAGGGCTGAGGAATGCTGCTTCAGGAGAGAAACTGGGTTAACGTTTAATTCTGCATTGACTCCTCTTTTCTGTTTTCGCTGAAGATGCTCACTTTCCTGAGCAGCAGCTATTAATATCTGGAGGAAGTGGCACTCCATCGCTCCCAAGTTGAGGCACACAGATATAGACAAAACAACCAGCTAATAAAACAAAGGTGTCTTGTAAATTTAGAAACCTATCCCAATCAGGCGCTATTTTATTGTAAAGGTTTGAATTCCATTACGGCGTCTCTTTAAGGGTAAATCTCCCACCTGAGAGCCTTCAGGGCCAGAGACTTGCCCTGTATTTCATCTGTGGAGAATGCTATTTCTGAGCAGCGCTGTCCACTGGAAATATCATACTAGCCATAAATGTAATTGTAAATTTCCTAGGGGCCATATTTTTTTTTTTAAGTTAAAGGAAACAGGTGCAATCAGTTTGGATAATATATTTTGTGTAAACCGCCATATCCAAAATATGATTTCAACATGCAGCCGACACAAACAATCGTTAATGAGGAAGTTAATCTTCTTTTATTTGTTCTACATTTTCAAAGTCAGCACGTATTTAACACTCAGAGCGCATTTCAAGGGCTCACTTGGCACACGCGGCCACTGGCTGCCCTGTGGGCTGCGCTGCGAGAGTTGGTGTCGAGAGCCGGTGTGTGTCGGCTACCTACAGCCTGAGGGCCAAGTCCAGTCTGTCGCCTGTTTTATAAATAAAGTTTTCTTAGAACATGCCCATGTTCATTCAGTTATATGCTGTCTATGGCTTTTCTCATGCAGATGTGAGAAGGTCCAGCAAAGACAATGTGGCCAGCAAAGCCTAAAACATTTGCTGTTTTGCCCTTTCCAGAAAAAGTCTGCTGACCTCTGTTCTAGGAGATCTTTTTTTTCCTTTTCTTTTTTCTTTTTATCTTCTTCATTATATTCATTGTCATTAAAAGCCTTTGCCAATGTGCTAATTCTACATAGTTCTGCTCTGGGCCCCCAGCAGTGGCCAGGCCAACCTCCTAACTGAGGATCCCAAGCCACCTGACCCAGGTCCCAGGCCACCTGACCCAGGTCTCAGCTCACCTGGCCCAGGTCCCAGCCCACCTGACTCTGGTCCTAGCCCACCTGACCCAGGTCTCAGCCCACCTGACCCAGGTCCCAGCAGGAGCACCCGTTCCAGAGGCAGCCACACATGGAAGCTTCCCATCCATCCCCACCTCCATGCCCAGGTGTATCCTGGCCCCTGGGCCTCAGTTAGCTGGGTGGGGCCTGATGAAACAGACAGGACTCTTCTTCATTTGCATGGACCCTTCTCCTATTTTTTAGCACAAGAACAAGTCTTTGTAAGAGCTGGTCCTGCCCACTAGCCCAGCTTATCTCTGACCACTCTGCCCCCATTGCTCGTCCTGTCCCAGCTGCACTCCACCTCTGTCTTATAAATCCATACTTGCTGGTCCTCCAGGACTTCTGACAAGTTCTGTGTTCGTCTGGCTTCTCCCCCACTCCTCTCCTGCCCGGCCAAGCTGCTGTTCTATCTCAGGGTCTCAGACGAAATACCACCGATTCCAGAGAGCTTCTGCGACACCTACACCAAAGCAGTCCCCTTACCCTGCCGTGTACCCCAGCCCCGTACTTGTCCTACACATTGATAGTCACCCTTTGAATTATAATTCCTTAATTACTTTCCTGTATGCCTTCCTAGTCTGTAAGCTCAAAAACTCGGCAGGGAACTGACCTGTCTTGTCTACCCATCACAGTATCCCCAGCACCCAGCTCCGCACCTGACTTACAGTATCAGCTGAATGAATGAAACACGGTGCTGAGCCAAGGGAGTTTCTGGCATGGCTCTGGGTTCTGTCTCAGCACCGTCCAGAGTGCATGAGGCTAATCAGCTGAGAAAACCATCCTTGCAGAGTGGGCTGGTCTCAGCAGAAGCTTCCGAAGCACGTCCGCTAAGCATCCATTGTATTTTCAGCATGACTCACGGTGGCAGTGCGTCAGGGAGCCGTGTTTCTCTGGCCCCTCAGCTGCTCAAGTGGAGGTGAGTGGTACCCTTCCCCCGCCCAGGACACAGGGCCAGACACACCCAAGGATGCCTTTTGATGGTTAAGCTGGAGGTGGCTGTGTGTACACACATGTGTGTAAGTGCACACTTATGTGCATGTGTGTTTGCATGTGCGTGCATGCATACATGTGTGAGCATGTACATGTCTGCATGTGTGTGGGTGTGTGGGGAGGAGGGCAGTGTTCTGAGAGCTCAGGGCCCCAGGAGAAAGGTGCCTCTGTGTGCTCTTGTCAAGTCAGCGCTGCGGTGATTAGTGATCTCGGGTTATCGGTGCTTCCCGACCCTTTCCTGTCACCGTGCCTGTAGGAAATGCTGATAGGTGGCAGACACAGCTGAATCCGGGCTGGGGCTGTTGGCAGACTGTACTGGGTAGCTCTTTCTGTCCCTCCAGATCTCCTCTCTGTCCTCCTGTGTCCTGGGAGGCTGCGCAGTGTGAGCTGCATCATCACAATACGGCGCACTGCCCGACTGCAGTGCCCGCCCCTCCTCGGGCCTGTCTCTCCTGGGGCCTGTCGCCTGCCCGCAGACAGCCTTGGCCGTGGCGGCAGCGGGAGGTGGACACGTTGGGATGCACAGGGTCCATTGTTTTAAACAGTTTGTCCTCGTAAATCATGCTAAACAAATCGCATTTAGAAAAGTTTGTGATGGATTAGCAAATGTCTAATGAATTCCAATCTGTGACATAATAGAGCCGGGTAAATATGTTTTAAGTAATCAGCATGGAAGATTACTGACGGGGAAGTGACTATTGAATCTCAATTAAAATGGTATTCTAAGAACTGTCACTTAAAATATTACTCTCACAGCCCAGCGAAAAGCGGCTTAAGCCCCACGTGCGGAGGGGAGGAGGGACTGAGTGGCGGCTCCTCACTGGTACCCATGGGCAGAGGCACT